TCTACGCCAATCGAGCTGTGAGCTTATAACCCGTAGACCTGTTGTCTACCATGGCTGAGTTTCACGGGAAGAGGGACAACGACCACTCCTAACCTCCGATGAGGATGGACTAGGATACTGGCAGGGTGCCCACACTTGACAAGAGGACAACTTGGGTCCTCAGCCAAAGCCTTCGATTAAATGAACACCCGAAAGGCAGCGGGTCTAGCACATACTTAATTCACTGACTCAAGCAGCTTGGTGTCCTGTATCCTAGCATGGTCGAGGGCGTAACCCAACTCCAACCTAACGGTCGCCACGAGGAGACGTCCAGGACATGAGCCCATGTCACAACAGTATCAGCAGTGGGTAGACCAACTGTCAGGATCTAGGCACCACCAGCCTCAGCGCACTATGGGCTCTGCGGTATATATATATATATATATATATATATATATATATATATATATATATATATATATATATATATATATATATATATATATATATAACTATGGTACATACGATATAAGTGGCTGAGTGCCACAACACGTCAGAAGGAAAATGAAAGCATGGAAGGGGAAGCAGCTGTTAGTGTAAGAGAGTCTCACAGTAAGTGCGCCATTGTCTGCGGTCCTTGGCCATATACTTCAGCGTTTGCATAAAAGTGTGCTGCGGGTCTTTTGGTTCCCAACCAAGGAGTCAAGAACGCTTGACAACAGCCAGCTTCCACTTTTGTGCCTTAACAAATTGGCTACGAGTTTTGCATTGCCCTCCTTTTCGTCGCTTCTAAGCCAAGCTTGTGCTCGCAAATAGGGCTCGTCGTGGTAGCTGTTGGGTAGGCATGAGAAGCACAGCTTCAAGCCAGCGAAACATAAGCAGTGAGATGAGGCTATCAATTGCTCAGCGGAGTTCTTCAGATCTGAAGACGCCAACGGATTTCCTCATCACTCTTATGGTGCTGCCATCAAACACTAGCAATGCTTCGCAGGCAGCGGTGACCAAAGTCTGATAGCCGCTGAACATCGCTTTTGCGAACGGGCCAAATCTCACAACCGTACAGAAGAATCGCTCATATCGTTGCATTATAGACTCGTCCATTGAGAGCGATGCTGTGATCACGATGAAGGTTAGCGAAAGCTACTCTAGCCTTGGAGACAGGCATATTGATCTCATCTGTCAAACCGCCAATACTAAGACAACTCCTAAGGTAAATGAATTTGTCGACCAGTTCCAACAGAGGAACCAAAATGATGAGAGAAGGACATGCGCTTGGGCAGTCCTGTAATAGAACCTTACATTTGGAAGAGGCAAAGCTCAACCCAAATTGATTGGCGGACATCTCCAGTTTGAGCAGTACATGCTTGGTGGCTTGGGAGGACTCGCAAATCACAGCGATGTCATCGGCGTACTCTAAATCCAGAAGGCGGTCACCAAGGAGCACTTCAACACCGCAGGACTCAGAGTTCTCCAGGGCAGTATTCAGGACCTCGTCCATGGCGAACTTGAAGAAGAATGGAGAGGCTTGGTAACCCAGTCCAACACCGCTAGTGCTACTGAAATGGAGCGAAATTTCTCCGTATGCTCGCAAACGACCCGAAGTTTGATGCCAAATAGCACGGAGACTGCAGATGCACTTCTCAGGTACTCCCTTCTTCAGTAAGCAGTCCCAAAGAGTCACTCTGTCAACAGAGTCAAAAGCTGTTCGAATATCCAAGAACATGAGTATAGTTGGTCGACTGAACGTATGGCGATGTTCAAGTATCTGACGGATAGTAACTATGTTATTGACGCAACCGCGACCCGGGCGAAATCCAGCTTGTTGTTCATGTAGGTGCTGTTACCGTACGCAACTGAGCCTCAGTAAGAGTAGGGCACCGAGCAGTTTGGATGCGATATAAATGAGACTGATGCCACGATGGTTGGGGCAAATGGTCCGGTATCCTTTTTTGTAAACAGGTACAACATTCGCTAAATCCTAGTCGGATGGAATGGTTTCAGTAGTCCAAATCTAATGGAATAGAAATGTCAGTTCGCGAATGAGAGCAGGACCTCCATATTTGAAGTGGGACAGGAGGAAGTTCATCTGGGCAAGGTGACTTGTGGCGCTTTAGTAGGCGAACCTTATTGGAAACCTCAGCCTCTGTCAGTGGAGAAACCTCCACGCACCAGGGAACATTGTGAACTCCGGAAGATAGACTCGGTTGCGCTGTTGGCCAGTTGAATTGATCTTCAAAGTGCTCTGCCCGTCGTACCAGACGACGGTGACGACTGTGAATAAGTTCACCGTCATTTTCACGTAAAACTTCACTCACTGTTGGTCTTCTGCCTCCCGTGGAGTGAATAAGTTGAAAGAGTTTGGGGGAGTTTCCTGATGAGGCTGCACTGTGTCCACCAAACCCCGCGATCCTTTCTGAGGAGCTGTCTGAGCCCAGCACCTGTGCCCCTGCATAGTGCCTTGTACCCAACTCCAGCGGGAATTGTTCGACGATTTTCCATTAACTGGAGAGAATGTGCGAAGACCAAATGACTAACAGCTCGTCTAGTGAAGCCACAGTGTGCCTAAACGTCGGGGGATAGAGAACGTAGGTTGGAGGCTAATGTATTCTGAAATGCACCAAGAATATTTGGAACGGCGAGCTTGTCTGTGTCAAACAGTTTCCGGCGACGCTGTTGGGTGCTTCCAAAACGCAGACCAAACAGCACACACGAGCACATGATTCGAAGTCAGGTAAGTGTTCCATATTGACTTGAAGTCCATTATGCAGCCTCGCCACCGGTAACTAACAGCGATGTGGTCCATTTGTGTCCAAGGTTGACCAGGCGCCGGCGGTCGCCAGGTGGCTCGTTGGTGCCATGAACGTCAGAAATTGGTGCTAGAGAGGAACAAGCCATGGTCCGCGCACAGATGCAGGTGTCGATCGCCGTTGTCCGTCCTGGAATTACCGTGGCTGTGTTGACCCCCATGTTCGAGCTCATGAACCTCTAGTCCACGGACCTGCGCATTTAGATCATCGGCGAGTATCAAGATGGCCGTGCGGCGTTTCTTGCGGAGGTCGGTTAGTTGGTGGTAGTACTCGTCTTTAGCTTCCTCCCAGCGGCAGTCATTTGGAGCGTACGCCGCCACAATGAATAAGCAGCGCCTACTGGTCCCGTGACTGGAAGATCGCACTGAGCTTTCCAAGCGGACTGCACAAAGACAACTGTTGATCGGGAACCAGTTAATGAGCGCTGCCTCAGAACGCGCGCTTAACGCAACTCCTACGCCGGCGCAACCAGAGGCTGCGTCTGTCGCATTTCCGGATAAGCGCAATGTGTATGTGCAAATGAAACTTGGGGAAGGTGACAGCAATTGCAGCCTTATGCTGGAGTCTTGTAAACGGGTTTCGGTTAGGCAGCAAACGTCGATTGAGTGGATTTCCAAGGTTCGCGCAAGAGCAGCTTGTGAAGCACTCTGCATGAGCTTTAGAACATTGAACCTTGCTAGCTTGAAGAGCGCGCGGGATGCAACAAAATCCTTGCTGTTGGTATTGAAATGTGTGCAATCGGTTTTGAGCGGTTCATTGAGGAGGCCAGAGGCACCGTTTTTATTTGCCATGCAGTTTTGGAGACTCGAAACTGAAGGCGGGTGAACAAGAACAGAAGCTTTGAATAAACGTGGAACGAAGAACGTGGTTTGCAGTGTGGTAGAGTGAGGTTTAACATGTCCGACCGCTAGCACCCCGGCCAAAGAGAGAGAGTTCAGAGAGCGAGTGACGTCAGCAGAGAGTTGTAAATGCATCATTTCATGCGTTGTGTGGGCGTACAGCATATACGGTGATAAAGAAATCCGGTTGCGTCTTTCCACGCGAAGCCTGTTGGTTCTGCTTGAACCCTGAAGCGGAACTGCGCCCTGTCGGCTGTTAAACTTAAGCAGGCTTGCTGCCCAATCTGCATCAGTGCCCGTTCTTTGAACCGCGTCAGACGAATGAGGATCTGGGTAAGAGTGTCACTGTTTGAACTCCATGCTGATCGATGAAACCAGAATCGTAGGCAGATCCATGAACACACGAATCAAGTAACTGCTAACAGGGATTGTTAACAAGTGAAAAGTTAGTGCTTGAGAAACTTGCGTGAATCCAAGAGGCTGAAACGGTAGCACTTGAGCGAATTGTAGAATACTCCATAGCTTTTTTGCCAGCGGGTGCGCTACCCTCTTATTACCCAATTAGATGTATGAAGTTGACTTGGAGGACACCACTCCGATCCTTTGGCTAGATAGCCCACCCTCAAGGTAACGAGGTGAATTCATGTAATCATTCCTATTAGGTGCCGGTGACTGGTCAGTTTGTAAGCTCTTCATAAGATCCGTTATCAAACGTGGGCTCAATCGTTCCTGTGATTTCAACAAGAGACTGCACTTGAGTTACACAAGGGACAGCGAATTCATTTAATCGCGAGTCAGATCCGCTACCTACCAGTGTTTCTATACAGACGTCTGTTGTCTTCGATAGCGTGAATGTTAGTCAAACGGAGAGACACCGCATCCTTAAAAGCTGCCACCAAACTATTTACTGGAGTGGAAATTGCGAATCACCCAGTTAGCACCACGTGGAGGTTGTCCGGTATGTCAGCCACCTTCCACATAGTCTCCATCACAAAGATTAGTGTAAGACGCTTCCCGAAAAATGAAGTACTATGAAGTATATTGCTGCTGTTTACCATAAGGCAGATTACATACCAAACTCACTTTGGCGTTACAGCTGGTGGTGCATATTTGAAAGGGGGCTCCTAAAGTGTTGGATTAACATTTGTTATTGGCAGTATTTACGTTCCAAATCATCACCATTCTACTATTCAAAAACAGCCCAGCTTAACCTAGTGCTTATGTGTGCATCCATTCGGGATAAACACAGAGCGCAGGCAAAAAACACTTTACATGATAAATTCGTCAAATAATGTAGGGTTTCTAGGATACAGACACCGAAACAGTCCTTGGGAGTTAAACCAAACGGTTTTAAATAGTCTCTCTCTGTCCATAGGTTGTGCCAGTTGAATACGGATCAGTTCTTGGAGACTTGATGATGAATCCACACCGAAGGGTCGGTGTGGCCCCCGTAGTGGACCGGACAAGAGCTGATGAGTTGCAGACAACACTATTCAACTTATCAAACCAGAATGAAGAGGAAGAAGTCGTTCCTCAAATGGACGAACATCCACCCCCTTCCATTCATGAACTGGCAGGTTCACACCGAAAACTCGCTACATGGTATGAGAAAACCGATCTGGGGCGTCTCAATGGCATATTCGCTATATTTTACACCATTTATGGAGCGGTACTGTTGTGCTTCACTGTTGCTCTTCGGCCCAGCAACCCACTCCACGAAGGTCAGTACGTTTGTTACTTCGGCCGCTGTTTCGCTAAGGGAGTGACTGGATCCGTCACTAGACCGTTTCACATACACCGTGGTAACGACGCGTTCCACCCCTACTCATGGAGCGTCTGCCTTGCTGCAATGATGATCACTGCTTATGGTGGGCTCATTTGGTCCAAACTCAGCATCCGTGTAATCAATATGGGACATGTGCTCAATTGGACCACCGCCTTCTACACCAGCCTGGCGGCCGTGCAAGCTGTCCTCCATTACAATGACCCATACTTTAAGAATTTCACCTCTCCCATCTGGTTTGAGGGAATGATGCATACTGTGTTCGGCCCCATTTCTCTTATAGCTGTAGCCCTGTTGTTGATCTGTCAGGTGGGGCTGAACATACCCACCTTAATTGTACACGACATTCACTATTACCCCGAAATGGCCCAATATTCCGCGAGTGATAGCCTACAGACTTCGTCCAGTGACACGTTGTCTTAGTGCTGTTGTTCCAACTAAGCAACAATGTGTGCATTATACCACACGCAAAATATTACAAGCATTTTTCTATACTGGACATGAGTGGTATGTTGGGCAGCTGCCCCTAGGCGATGTGACGAGATCAGCCTTCCAAACTTCACAGACAGTCACCCACCACACCTGAACCCTGGAACGAAATAGCTCAATCGCTAGTATTTTGTCCATACCACCAGGCAAAGGTCGGCGTGTCCACTTGAGCACAATCCGTTCATCGTCTACCCCGGAGTGCTGAAAGCATGTCCGGCTTAAAACTGGCAATTGCCATCTAGGTTTCCCTGCTTCGTTGGTATAAAAACAAATTCAAACCATTGTTTACGATGCGCTGGTTGTAGGATACTAAACCAGTTTTTAGATATGCGCACTCACTTACGAAGATATTCTGCGCACTAATTTTAATGCGACGAAGAGGTAAGCCTTTCGGTTCAAACTCATCCCAGCCATAATCTACTTCAGCAGTCCAAGAAATCGAACACAGACCTGAAGCGAATAAACTGATTATTGAACCAACTCAGCATCATTAGTTAAGTGAAGTACCCCAGGCCGTATTTATTCGCTCAAACTTTACTTGAGTATGATCACCTCATACTCATTAATGTCAAGATATATTTAACTGACGTTAGTAGTCAACATTGGGGGTCTAGGTCCACCTGATACCAAGAGCGACCGAAAGCTAAAACAGTCGTTATCGATTTTATCGGTAAACATTTAGATGGATAGTACCTTAATATCTATTAACTGCGACAAAAGTGGGCAACACCGAGCTGCTTATAGAAAACCAGTACGAAAGACAACAGCCACGTCCAATGACCACAACTGCCGAGCAAGGACTTCCTGTCTTACAGAAGTTACCGTGGCTGTTGCGTATGCAAAGCTATAGCAACTACAAGTTGCGGTGTATCGCAAATAGTTTTCCTAACAAATAAACCAGATCACGCGGGAAAACTAGGGGTCGAATTAAGAGTGACTTGGAGACACTAAGTTGAGAGGAAGAATTTCTGTAACTGTGCTTCACTGAAATTCATTAGGTTTATAGAGATTGATTAATCAACACCCAACCGTCCAATAAAGACGCTTGGGAGTACTGCAGTTGTGCTACCGTGTGCTCAGCCGTGGCAAACTAAGGATTTCGGTCATCTGATGCACTGGTTTATTCCGATTCGGAATTGTACTTCACTAATAAATTGAGTTCCAGTTGGGAGAACGCAGTATTAATAGCTTAGACCGGCCCCGAATGTACGATTATCGAATCAGTGGTCCACTGTGACTAGGTTGGTAGTACCGACGTGCGTATCATCGGAACACCTAATGTAACGGAATTGCTAGTTTGATCTAGTAATCTATCTTCCACATAAGATGAAATTTACATTGACTGTGTTCCTGCACGTGACCTCAGCGCCATGTAGCGACAGCCACTTACAAGTGGAACCCCGGTCTTAGTTACCACACAAACAAATGCAAGCGCACCTGCTTTGCCCACAAATCATGATTGCCGACGTCCGGCGGGCCGTTGCACAACGTTGTGCTACTTAGTTGTCGCGTGGTGTGTTTAATCCCAAACTCGTCAAGCGTGATGTTTATTTATTTATTTGGGTGATTTATCGCATTTCGTTTAATTACACGCAGCTGCCGCCTGGCATCCGTCTGCTAGTTCACGCGATGGCAGGTGTTTTGGTGCGAATATTGCAGCGGCTAGAGAGCTCAATATTTTATGACGTTCTGCCTGACTAAACACCTAACTACTCACCGTCTGAAGTTGGAAACTGGTTTTGATGGACTGGGTGGAGGTCACACCCAGAACATCGCTTGGTGCTAGTAATTAATTATGGTACTCGAGAACAGGCTAGAGAGAGCTCGTCCGCATCTTCCGCAATTTATCCAGAATAAGTCGGCCTTGGAACTACTCTTGATTAGGTTGATTAAACACACACAATTTGTGGGGTGGAGTAGTTGGGTGCAGTTATTTCGGAAAGCCTGTTGGTGAGTTTGCTTGTTTGTCATCTACGCAGTTTGATGATGAAATGCATTTGAGCATTTATATCCTTCGCAGACGTGTTGGTGGTCATCATCCTCAACTTACAAACGGATTTGGAATACTGCTAGCAAAAAACATCTCCCCGTGTATACTTGCCTGTATTCCCACTGTATTCCCGCTGACATTTTCTAGGCAACAGGAAACGCCATCTCTGCGAAGCAGAGTGCTCGGCTTAGGTATTAACAGGGTTCTGTTTTCGCAACTGCCTGCACCAGGATGCCATGATGGCAGATCCTCGGCAAACGCATTACACCAGTAAGGGCCCATGTCATCAGGGTGCTCCACGCATAATTCTTTATCGTTTTAAAAATGACAGATTCAGCGTGAGAAGTACATGGGTCCCTAGCAATGCGTTGGGGGCAGTTACTTGTAAACTTGGCTTTGTTTACTTGCGTCTTTATCCGTTTAACTTTAAATTTGTACATTCCAAACTGGTCATACATTTAAAATTGGTTAGAAAAGTGTCAGGTCTACCACTAGCCCAATCAATGCGATTGAGCTCTCTGTAATTCTTATTCCTTTACATCAAGCATCAGATAGACGTAATGCGAACTCCATGTTCGCCAGTAACATGATTGATCGATAGGCGGAAGAACTCGTGACACCCATCTACAACTGCTTGATCTCAACCACCTGCAAGGATTGGCTGATGTTCCGGGGGAAAACAAACACTGGTTTTGCTAACGTTTAATTAACTTTGCACATGTGGTAGTCGATTGCTGGTCACCGAGTGGTTTGTAATCACTGCGCAGTGAATCGTGTCCCTGTTTCTATTACAACAAGCTGCTGAACTCCTGGCTCTGGTCATTCTTAAATGCTTACGCAAGGCCGACAGTACCCATCATACGCTCCATCATCACTTGTGTGCCGAGTCAAAACAGCCCCCGTGAACCTAAGCCTCATTAGGGTCAGGGTTCAGTGTCTTTTTGCCGACATTCTCCATCACGGGGAATATTGTCTCCATATTTGATTTATGGGTAATTGTCAGTAATGTCGTCGACATAAACTCTGAAAAGAAAGTTCTCCGTGAGAACGCCACGTTTAAAATGCACTACTTTGATCCCATTTAAGATTGATTCGGGTAATCGAGTGCTTACTGGAGAAGACAATATCCGCCGGAGCAGACAACATCCGCCCGAAGGCACTGAAGGCTGTGACATACAAGTCAGCTGGACCACTGTCACAGTTCTTCCAAAGGCGCTTTGATGAACAACAAGTCCCTACTATGTGGAAGTGTGGCTTTATCATTCCTATTTTTAAATGCGTAGCCTTTCAGATGCTGCAAACGATCGTCCAGTGACTCTCCTCCCTGTGATCGCGAAGGTGATGGAAGCAGTCGTCGCTGAGGCTTTAATGGACTACCTGGAAAAATGCAACATTTTGGTACCGGAACAGCATGGCTTCCGTCAACACCGGTCAGCACCACCAACCTACTGATTGCACGAGGTAGTTGGACGGAAGTGGCCGATAATGGGGTCGGAGTCGACGTCATCTATCCTTACTTCTCCAAAGCTTTCGACCGCCTTGATCACCGCATCCTACTTCAACGGCTACAGAGTTGCGTAATCGGAGATCCTCTACTTGGTTGGATTGGCAGCTTCCTTCACCGACGGAAGCTTCAAGTACGTGTCAGAGAATCACTCTCCAATCCAATTAAGGTGGAATGTAGTGCTCCACAAGGTTCAGTGCTGGGACCGCGCTTATTCCTGGTGTTTATCAACGACCTGACATCAGTTATATCCTCAAATTTCCTGCTTTTCGCCGATGACGTCAAGATATGGCAGGCGATTAGTAACAAGCCAGATAACGATCTGCTCCAACATGACCTAGATTGCATTTACGAATGGTCAAAGAGGAACATTCTTTAATTGAACATAATTAAGTGCAAGGTGATACATCTGCGTCACCAGCTGGTGAGCGCTTACAAGCTTGGAGACCACACCTTGGCGAAGGTATCTCAGCAGCGCTACCTGGGTGTATTGGTACAGGAAGATTTTGAGTGTTCAAAACCAGCAGAGAAGGCGACGAGAACCGGCAATCAACACTTCGGCCTTCTTCGCAGAGCCTTCGGTCAGTTTGAACCATCAATCTTACTCCAAATACTTAACACCTACGTGCGACCGCAAGTGAAATATGCTAACCAGGCGTGGCAGCCGTGGAAGAAACAAGATCTTGTTGCTCTCGAGACTCCTCAACGAAGGGCAACCAAGAACGTCAGGGGCCTCTTTCATCTGCCATATCAGCTTAGACTGAAATCTCTAAGAATGTATAGCAGTCGATATCTGCTTTTGTGGGGGGGGATCTCATAATGGTTTACCAAATTCTGAAGAATCCAAATCACAGTTGCCGTCTGCTGCTGGAATCGAATCACAGCACTAAACTAAGAGGTCACCCTCTGAAACTGGCAATTCAGTATAGCCGGCTTGTATGCTGTACAAATTTCTTTCCCCTCCGCGTGTGCCAGCCCTGGAACGCCCTCCATAATTATGCCGTCTCTGCTCTCAATCTGGCGATATTTAAAAAAACGTGTTGACGATGTATTGTCTCACTTACATTTCATTCTATGACTTGTTAGCCAGGGGCTACGAAACGCAATCAAACGGTGTCTTGTCAAACGCCTAACCAATGGATTTATGGATTTATACGTTTAACACGCGAACATCTCCGCTATTCCACTTAATTCTATGGTGAGTCCACCTCAACGCTTTTCACTTTATCATGCAATTGATTTTCGCAATAATTTCCATCCTACGGGACTTGTTAAGCAATGTTTTTTACCCGTAATAAACCATTATTCCATTGTTCCATTGTTCGACAGCCAATTTTTCAGGATCGTGCATACCCACATTAGAAGAATAAACCATATAGTACCTTAAATGCGACGTTTGCCACTTAGCTGAATTGAATAGATTGGACTAACCTGCATAATCCTTATCAAACATGTTTTGTATCTGTAGATGGTTATCCGATACTTCGATCACTGGCCGTAGCTTGATGATA